AGACTTTGCTTTTTCTAAATGGACAACGGTTTCACAGGCCTATTACCTTGCCTGACATTAAAGATATGGGTTGCCTAAGTAAATGCACATGCAAACACGCGCGCACACAAATACTTATCTTGGTATGTAACTACATGTAATGAAATCCTCTAGTTTCTTTTTGTTATCTGTTGCATTTGACACAACAGTGTTGCAGAGCCAAGGTTCTGGGGGTACTTGTCCATGAATCAAGAAAGCAAGCAGAAACAGAATCCACCTTCGTCAAAAAGACCCATCTTTGAATCTTCAAAATCAAGATTCAAGAACCAGACTTTCTTGATTTCTTCCTTAATGGAGGACAAATATATATGCATAAATAATACAAAGAATGGATTTTTAATATAAATCTTTGAATGTAATGTGAATTAACAATGTAGTACTCTTTATGGTTCATGTGTTATGTTTAATATAATGATAAAGAATAGAAACCAAGATGTGGAATTAAGAGAGATTAGCAGAGATTTTAATATTATATAAGCACAAGAGGCTTTAGAGGAAAAAAATAATAAAAAAGAAAAAGACTTACCTACAGTGAGTTAGAGAGAGAGAGAGAGGGAGATACGCAAAATGATATGAGAATATAGAAGAAGCTTTTAACACTAAACCCTATTTAATTAACAAAAAATAGAGGAATTATCAATGTATAAAATATGTTAATCTCTCTCTTAATTTTAATTATTTTTGTTTCTAGGGATTAGAATAGATGGACAAGAAAACCTGACCTAAAATACATATAAATAGAGTAAAGTACAGTTTTATCCTTGTTAACTTTAAGTTAATGGGTAAAATCCAAGGATAGTTGAGGGCTTTTTTGTCATGAAAAATTATACATGGCCGGTGACCGAGTCAGCTTGGCTAAAGATGGACTTCAACAATTATGGAAATATAATTAAATATTTTAAGTACCACATATATATATATATATATAAAGAAAATCGAAGCAGGAGGTGACAAAAACAAAACGTGTGCTATTAATAAATAAAAAAAGAAAAAAATCCAAAAAAAAAATAAAAAAAATGAAGGGACAATAGCTGCTTTTCGTATTTTTTCGTGATTCTAGAAGAAGTCTTCACCCTTACAGTTTTATCTCTATTAGAAGTCATCAATCTCCTTATTTAGTATATTTACTTAATAATGCCTATTTTTATTATCTTAGACAACTAAGAGTCATTTGTTATGTGTTTCATGTGGTTTAGGTTGTGTCTTGCCTCAACCATCAATTCTTTCACGTTTGGTTAATAAAATAATTATATAGTTTTGCATAGTTTGGCTTAAAATTCTTGCATCTTTATTAAACATAATCTATAATTTATATATTTTTTAAATTTTATTTTTTAAAAATAAATCACAATAGCAAAAATTATCATCATGTCAAACATATAATCAATTGAACTATCACTCACCAATCAATCCATTTGTAAGATAGACACGTAAATAATTGTTACCTTGTCTAAAATCTTGATCATGAATTAAATAAGTTGATATGGTTAATTTAATTTTTATTTAAAAAAACTAAAATTTCCAACTAATTCATTCAAAGTTATGTTTTAACTTAATAAATTACTAAGTTAACTTATTGATTAAAAACCTAACTTATAAATCATTGAGTTAACCTATTAAATCATTAAAAAATCTCTATTTAAGAGAAACTTTTACCTTTAAAAATTTAAGTTATTGATCAATTCTGCACTTATTTTTAAATTACTAAAAAGCTCAAAACCAAGTGTATAACTTCACTTTTAAATGGGTTTAAATATATTTTTCTAACTTATATGAATTGAAATGAGGGGTTTAATAAGCATATTTTAGTTTGGATTTTCAAGGATCTACATTTAAATTTCTCCTTTAAAAATTATAATTTAGAATAAGTTTCCTTTATTTTTTAATTATGATCTATATCTACAAAAAACATTTTCTCAATAATGATCTTGAACAACCATGTATTTGTTTTCCTTAATTAAATAATTTTTAAATCTTCTTTACAAAATCATATATCTTTAATATTATTTACTAAAATAGGGTATATTTTTATCATATAATATCTAAATTTTCCATGTCATTTTTTTAGGAATATTTTTCAATGACTTGAGTATTTTGTAAAATCTTAAGAAAATATATCTTCTCTTGTATCTTTGTTTAAGGTGCAAATCTTATAAAGATCATGATGTGAACCTTATGATCACATGGTTACATAACCCATATATGAGAAAAACAAATCTTGAAAAGCCAAAAAAATCAAATTTTATAGAAATTTAAAATAATAAAAAACATTTTCAATGCACTAGTATTGGAATAAGAATCCTCATTCTAAATAAGAAGTTTAAGAAAAAATGCTACAAAATTAGTTATACTTTAAGAAGTTAGATTGTTTTTTGTTTAACAAAAGAGAAAAGATTTACATTATACAAAATACAAGTTTATTCAAAACATCATGATTAAAAACTTTTGGCTAAATTTCAACTTGATCCAATAGTCGTATTGAAAGTTATACCTAATAACGTAAAACTAGATATTAAACACAATTATGCTAGAATGTGAATTTTCTTGTTTAACCCTTTCTTAGATTGTATCATTCTTTATCTCTTAAAAATAATTCATCTTCAAATCACTAATAGATACAATAGATGTTTTATAAGTTTCTTATTTAAGCTTTCAGGGCTATTTTCTTACTAACATTATCCTCTAACTTTGTATGAAAATAACAACCCTTCTTTTTGTCTTTTGTCATTTCAGTGATATTGGTCCTCTCAACTTTGAAGCTTCCACTCATAAAATAGATATTTTAACTTATCAAATTATTTCCTTAAAATTGCAAACATAATTGATAGGTCTATGTTCTTGAATGATAACCCTTCTTTGTACTCTCCTCCTTAGTGAACCCTTTGTTGTGTTTTTTTTTTTCACTCTAAAAAGATATTGCGGACAAAATAAAATGTTGGAATCTTTTTTATATCAAATGATCCTTAATGCAAAGCTAGACAATAACAAAAGAAGAGGAAAAAATAGGATCAAATAGAACTTTAACCAAATCAAACTTAAAACGAGACAAAAGAAAAACAAGAAGAATACACATGCAAAAAAACATTTAAGAAAAAAAAATAAAGAGGATATAACTTGATAAATTAAGTCAAGCTCCGATATCAATTGATATAAATCTCGTGCTCACGTAACCTATACGTAAGAAACATAAGTCCTCGAAAGCCAAAGAATCAGGTTTTATAGGAGTATAATATAATGAAAACTTATCTCAAAACACCAATATTATTGGACTAAGAACACTCATCCTATGAATATCAATTCTTGAATGAGAAATAAAAGAAATAACGCCACAAAGTCAGTTATACTTTAATAAGTTTGATTGTTCTTTGTTTAACTAAAGAGAAAAGTGTTACATCATACAAAATACAAGATTATTCAAAATATTATGGTTGAAAGCTCTTGGTTAAATTTCCACCTAATCCAATAGTTAAATTAAGAGTTATACTTGATAGTGTTAAATAGGACAATATATAATTATACTAGAATCTAAATTTTATTATTCAACCTTTTTATTGGATAGTATTATATTAAGTGTTTATATAATAGGGATAGGGAGAGAATTTAATCCTTATTAAAATTTAATTTATTTTAACTACTGATATTATATTACCAATTTTACCAACTAAATAATAAAAAGTGAAGATGTTTGTTTGTTTATTATTAGCTAAATGTCTTTCTTTTGTTCTTTCCTTTTCTATGTTTGTGTTGGGTTTCCTTTGCTACTCCTTGTTTGTATTCTCTTTTTTGTCTTCTTGGCCTTTTAAAAATAAAATGAAAAGGAAAAAAAGCTAAGTGAGTTTGTTTCTATCTGTATTTTTTAATTTGCCATTGAAGAGACAAAGACATTTTAGGATTGAGGTATAGTTTAAAACCTGTTTCAGTATGTATTTGAAGCAAGATTCATGTCATGAATAGAATTAAATTTTACTTAGATGCACTTGAATTTTTAACTAGATCAAGCCATACTGAATTTTTATTTATTTATTCAATCCAAACTAGTCTAAATCCAGGACTGCATAATGAAAAGTGAAGTTATTTGTTTATTTATTATTAGCAAAACTTCTTTCTTTTCTCCTTTCTGTTTTTATATCTACTTTGCTACTCCCCATTTGTGTTTTCTCTTTTTCTTCTTGGCCTATTAAAAATAAAATGAAAAAAAAAAAGTTAAGTGAGTTTAACTTGCCATCAAAGAGACAAACATATTTTA